AGGAGATCAGGGCCCTGTGGGACCTAGTACAGTTCTGCAGGGCCTGCAAGACGGAGCTCTCCCGCCAGGCCTTTATGTAGGAGCTGCCACTACCACTACCACTACTACCAACGGTGTTGGCAACAAATGGAGCAAGGAAACAGCCCTACGAAAGATCTGGGCACAATACAGCACTGGGCTGGTACCGATGGACTGGACAGTTTAACATCTACTGGACACTACCTACCTCCATGAAACACCACCTACCTCTAATGAATGACCATCTTGTTTAAATTTGAACACTTTATTTGTAATATTGGTTGGTTTTTACTGTTTTTACCCTGTTTTTATGTATGGGCATATTTTGCCCTCTTGCAAGCTGCCCTGAGCCCGTTCGCAGGGAGGGCGGGGTATAAATACAAAAATAAATAAATAAACTTCTGGTGTAGACTGACCTTGCAGAATGGGAAGCAGGCTCGTTCCCAGTGGCTTTTTGTTCACAGAGATTCAGAAGCTTGGGGGGGGGGGGAACAAGTGCAACCCCCCTCCCTTTCCCTGTAAGCGGCCATGAACCATGATGAAGAGCAGGATAGCAATGTTTAAATGAATAAATAAATAACTGTATTCAACCTACACACACTCCTATTGTCTGTCGTGGGCAGAGATTTGCCTTGAATGGGTTTTTGTTCAGAGCAGGGTAAGGTCACAGACAATGTTCCCTCTAAGCAGTGGAGTCTTGTGAGCAAAAATTCTACTTTGTGAGCTACTAGCATTAAAGTTGTGAGCAAGCAATTTGGCTGCTGCATACATTAGTTTGCTCTGGAGCCATCCTTCCTGAGCTAAGACAAAAATGTGTGAGCTGGAGACTAAAAAACTGTGAGCTAGCTCACACTTACTCAGCTTAGAGGAAACACTGCTCACAGACCGCTCGTGCTACAGTAGGCCGCAGCGGTCATGGCAAAACACCCCCCCCCCAATCTGCAGTTCCAGAACACCTTCCGGTTTCCCCTTGATTGCCCTCTTTGCATTCAGTCTGTCTTGAAGATACTGGGGTGTGGCTGTTGTAAATGCAAGAAGGGGGACACGTCAGGGTGGACACCTACCAGGGCACCTTCCAGTGCAAAGACCGCGGCTGCTCCTGTCTGCTCCAGAGGCTCCATCCGACGCCTCCAGCGGCGGCGGCGAAAAGAATCGGTCTTCCGGTATTTCAGGTGGAACTTCCAGCCAAAGAGGGAGGCATACTCCCACCCTTCCCCTTCCAGCTCCTCCTGTCTGTGCTGCAAGAAAGAAGGAAAGGAAGCAGGCTTGATAAAAAGCATCGGCATCCCACAGTGGGGGAAGAGAGGACCCCATCAGTGGAGATCAGGGATCTGTCGATTGCCTGAAACCCACCAAAGAAAGAGGTCATCTATCACCTCTGTCAATTGGTCCTTCCATCACTCATTTCTTTATGATAGATTCAAGTCGGCCGCCGTGTTGATATGAAGCAACAGAACGAAGTTCAAGTCCAGCGGCACGTTTAAGACCAACAAGTTTAATTCTGGGTATAAGCTTTTGTATGTATGCACACCTTTAAGCTCAACAAAGTTTAATTCTGGGTATAATGCAGGCAACAACTTTAAGACCAACAAAGTTTTATTCTGGGTATAAGCTTTTGTGTGCATGCATGTCTTTAAGACCAACAAAGTTTTATTCTGGGTATAAGCTTTTGTATGTATGCACATCTTTAAGCCCAACTAAGTTTAATTCTGGGTATAAGCTATCATGTGTATGCACACCTTTAAAACCAACAAAGTTTTATTCTGGGCATAAGGTTTCATGTGCATGCATACCTTTAAGACAAACAAAGTTTTATTCTGGGCATAAGCTTTCGTGTGCATGCACACCTTTAAGACTGTTAAGAAATGCATTTTCTTCTTCGGAGGTTTGAAATGAGCAAAACCTGCACACTCTGCCCCCCCCCCCCCCCGGGCAGAGAACATGCTGGAAGGAGAGAAGTCAGTCCAATTACTTTCCAGCTTACCTTTATATAAATGTTAATAGATCTAGCAGGAGAGATAATGGGTGGGTCAAGCTGTCCCCCTTCTTCTAGCAGGGAACAGAGAACTGGAGGAACAAACTACTAGAGAGGTTGCAAAAAGGAAAATTCTGGAAACTTCAGGAAAAGCTTCCTTGACACGGCCTGACTGGGTCAGTGGGAGGGGAAAGGGAGAAGATAAAACTCAGGGGAGCCAGGAGGAAGCTCTCTTTGGTTGGTGTGGGATCCATGAGAGCAGACAGAACTTTTAACTGAGAAGGCAGCCATTGACCATGTGCTCGCCTGAAGAGCTGGGAGAAAGCTGCAAGGAAATGGTTACTCTGTAGAGATCTGTAACATCCTAAGTTTAAGGAACCATGTCCTATTTTAACATCTGATAGAGCATGTGTAGAGAGAGGGATAGAGGATTTGCATTTTACCAACTTCTTTTTATTCCCTTGCTCAATCTAGTGCTGTGCTAAAAGTAGGATTGTGAACATTTTCTTTTTAATTAAAACTTTATAACATAAGATGCTGGCAGTGGTTCTCTGTACCACATAGACTTCTACCATCTCGGACATGGTATTTTAAAAGGAGTGCTGGGGAAGGGAGGCAGTTGGCAAGTGGCCATTCCTCCAGGGGTGCACAAGGCAGTAAACAGTCCCTATGGGGACCAGGTACTGAGCAGCAGGAGACACAGAGCTCGGAAGGGAAGTTCTGAGCCTTGACCCTCCCAGTGGGTAATTCCTGTAAAGATTGGGTGGTGGTGGTGTGTTACTGGAAAGAAAGAAAAGCCTCTCCAGGTGTTGAGTAGACCTTGGATGGCAGGGTGGAATAGCACCTGCAGGCTGGAGCAGGCCCATTCTGACACAAAAAACAACAACATTTAATTCTGGGTATAAGCTTTCGTGTGCATGCACACGAGAGCTTGTACCCAGAATTAAACTTTGCTGGTCTTAAAGGTGCTACTGGACTCAAACTGAGTTTCATTTATTTCTGGACGCAGGTGGACAGCCATGTTAGTCGGGAGCAGTAGAATAAAATTCAAGTCCTGTAGCAAAATTTTCCAGAGTCAAAGAAGTGAGTTCTGATAAATGTAAGCTTATATCCTGGGAAATTGTGTTGCTCTTTAAGGTGCTCCTGGATAAGGATGGCCACAAACGGAATCATGAACCAAAATTTGTCACAAACTGGGCCCCAACTCGTGGTTTGCAAACCCAGTTCATGTGATCACATGGTTCATGAACCATCCATGAACATCCATGGTTTCTGTTGAAGTCTGTTTGGTTTGTGGGAGCCGTTCATGGGCCAGACATGCTGGCGCCCAAGGCAATGGTCAGGAACCCTTTAAAGCTGCATCGCCACTATGGTGCAACTCACCAGTGAACTCGGAAGGCATTTAAATGCCTTCTGAGCAAACCTGTGAGTTGTGCCACAGGGTGACACGAATGAGCTCAGAAGGCATTGTTCGCTTTTGAGAACCGCCACGGCTTCCATGGGGGGGTGGGGGAACGAAAGGTGAAATAGGAGGTGCAAGCCATTTCGGCAATGCCTTTTACTCCCCCCACCCACCACCCCACTTGGAAGCCGCACAAACCTGAACCTGTTCGCAAACCAGGGAAGGTCCAAACTGGTTCATGGTTCGTGTGACAGGTTCGTGCGCGAACCTCCATTTTCCCGATTCATGGCCCATCCCTACCCCTGGACTCGAATTTTGCACCTTTCTTTATTCTTAGTTTTAAATTGGCTTGGTGATGGTGTGGCTATGGTCACAGGCACAGACAGTTTAAAAGGAGACTAGACAGATTCATAGAAGAGAGATCTATCAGTGGCTAAACCTCTGAACCCCAGTGTCCTTGGCCTCTCTGCCCTGTTGTTGGACCTCTAAAGGAACTTGTTGGCCACTGTGTGAGACAGGAGGCTGGACTAGATGAGCACATGAGCCTCACATAAAGCTTTCTTATACTGACTCAGACCCTCGGTCCATCAAGGTCAGTATCGTCTACTCAGGCTGGCAGGGGTGTCAGGCTCAACATCAAAAAAACTAAGATCATGGCATCCGGCCCCATCACTCCCTGGCAAATAGAAGGGGAAGTCGTGGAAGTAGTGACAGACTTCACGTTCCTGGGATCCCAGATCACCGCAGACTGTGACAGCAGCCACGAAATTAAAAGACGCCTGCTCCTTGGGAGGAAAGCAATGGCGAACCTAAACAGCATGATAAAAAGTAGAGACATCACCCTGCCAACAAAAGTCCGCATGGTCAAAGCAATGGTATTCCCAGTAGTCATGTATGGCTGCGAGAGTTGGACTATAAGGACGGCCGAGCGCCGAAGAATAGATTCTTTTGAACTATGGTGCTGGAGAAGACTCTTGTTGGGCCCGGCCATGTATAAGGGCCAAGAAGCGACAGTTAGAACCGGATATGGAACAACTGATTGGTTTCGCATAGGAAAAGGAGTACGACAAGGATGTATATTGTCACCTTGCTTATTTAATATATATGCAGAGTACATCATGCGAAATGCTGGCCTGGGTGAATCACAAGCGGGAATTAAGATTGCTGGGGAAAAGATCAACAACCTCAGATATGCAGACGATACCACTCAGATATGCAGACGATACCACTCTAATGGCAGAAAGTGAAGAGGACCTAAAGAGCCTCTTGCTCAAAGTAAAAGAGGAGAGCGCAAAAGTGGGCTTGAAGCTCAACATCAAAAAAAACTAAGATCATGGCATCCGGCCCCATCACTCCTTGGCCTGCTCCTTGGGAGGAAAGCAATGGCGAACCTAAACAGCATGATAAAAAGTAGAGACATCACCCTGCCAACAAAAGTCCACATGGTCAAAGCAACGGTATTCCCAGTAGTACTGTGTGGATGTGAGAGTTGGACTATAAGGAAGGCCGAGCGCCGAAGAATAGATTCTTTTGAACTATGTTGCTGGAGAAGACTCTTGAGAATCCCTTGGACTGCAAGAAGATCAAATCAGTCAATTCTAAAAGAAATCAACCCTGACTGTTCCCTGGAAGGCCAGATAATGAAACTGAAGCTCAAATACTTTGGCCACCAAATGAGAAGGGAGCACTCACTGGAGAAGAAGACCCTGATGCTGGGGGAGACTGAAGGTCAAAGAAGACGGGGACGGCAAAGGATGAGATGGTTAGACAGTGTCATCGATGCAACGAACATGAAATTGAGCCAACTTCAGAGGACAGTGGAAGACAGGGGGGCCTGGCGGGAGCTGGTCCATGGGGCTCGGAGTTCTGAGTCTAGGACCCCGGTGAAAACATGAAATGGTTGAGTGATTAAGAGATTCTGGCAAAGCAAGCTATGATGCAGCAGCAGCAGAACTGGAAGCAGGAGACGGCCAGTTCCACTGCGGGCCTGATGGAAGCCCCTCCGGGGGCCTGACCCAACCCCCGGGCCACATGTTTGACACCCCCGGCTTAGAGGGAGCACTGGAGAAGAGGCATGAAAAGGTTAAGCAAAAACGCCCCAGTCCTCAACCAGGACTGCTTCAGTCCTCTCCCAGAATTCCCATGAGTGCCAGACAGGCATGCCGCCCTGACCCCACCTCAGCAGGGAGGGGAGGGTAAAAAAAATCAAATAAATAAATAAATTCCTGGAGATCTGTGCCGTGGAGTCGACCTCCCAAAGCAGCCATCTTATTCAGGTGAACTGATCTCTGTCGTCTGGAGATCAACTGTAATTTCAGGAGGAATCCAGCCACCAGGGCAGGCTGGCAAGCCTAGGGACGGAAGCAAAATAAGTTACACCTGGAGACCAAGGAACCCTATAAGGAAAGGTCGAGGGACTTCTTGGGAATGTTCAGTCTGGAGAAGAGGAGGTGGAGGGGGGACAGGATGGCTCTCTTGGAATATCGGAAGGGCTGTCCCTTAGAGGAGGGCAGGGAGCTGTTCCTGTGGGCAGCAGAGGAGAGGACTGGCATTCATGGGTTTAAAGGAAGGGCGGGAAGGCTGGGTCTTAGGGGAAACTTTTCGACAGGCAGAGTTGTGCCACAGTGGAATCGGCTGCCTGGGGAGGGTGGTGAGCTCCCCCTCCCTGGCAGTCTCTAAGCAGCGGCTGCACAAAGACTTGTCAGAGATGCTCTAGGCCAGTGGTGGCGAACCTATGGCACGGGTGGCAGAGGGTGGCACTCAGAGCCCTCTCTGTGGGCACGCGTGCCATCACCCCAGCCAGGCCCAGACCATCATTAAAGTGACGAATTCTCCGCCAAATAACTTTAAGTAAATGACAG